ATTTTCTACTGTGTTGCCTCATTTTCATCCTTAAAGAATACCTGTCTTGGGACTGTTGCTATAAAGACTTCCAGAAACTGCTCTAACTACTCCCACGAGGGAATTCCTCAAGATCAAGTGCCATGCCTTACATCTAGTACTCAGGAACACAATAGACATCTTGTAAGCATAAAATTATAAAATGGCTGTGCTGAAAGTGTGTAGAAAGTAAAAGGAAGGGGTCAGCCTTTTTCAGTGGTGTCTCACGTTCATGGGACATTACTGCTTATGTGTCTTGGTTATATTTGATGTCTAATGCCATGATAAGTGATTCTAGACTTTAATTATATGCCATGTCAGATGAGTATAAAGAAGTAAGTACTTTTGTGATTTCTTGGAACATAAAAGCTTGGCAGAACCTGGTACTCTCTGATTTGTAGGTTTTCTAATGAAAGACATGAGGAGGGGAAGCTATTATATAAAGACTACAAGAGAAAGAGAACTGCCTACTTGTATGAACATTTGTTATATGTCTCTAGACAATACTCCACACAAAAGCTGCTAGAATTTATAAGCAAATTTAGTGAAGTTGTAGGACACAAAATCAGCATGCAAAAATTGGTAACATTTTTACACAAGCATGATGAACTTAATAAAAAAGAAATTTTCAAGGCTATTCATTGTAGCTATATACTAAAATAAATATTTAGGAAGAAATTTAAGCAAAAAAGTAAAAGATCTCTGAACTGAAAATTATAAACTATTGATGAAAGAAACTCTAGGGCACACTAAAACAATGAAAGGACATGGCCATCCTCTTGAATTGAAAGAATAATATCATAGAATTATCATACATACCAAAACAGTCTATTGATTCAGTAAGATTCTCATTAAAAGGAAAAGTATCAGCTCAAGACCACAAGGCCAAGTTCTGGGCACAAAAGGATTTATTTGCCTCAGAGGGACAGAGGACAGGGAATGAGAGCAGACACAGGAGATAGAGGACAAGGGAGAAGGAGAAGGGAACAAGGGAAAGGGGCCAGGTTATTTGTCCCAGGGTACTAAGAACTGCCTCTGGATAGAGGAAATATAGACATGGTACATAGGCAAATGGTTGTTTATAAAGGTAAATGGGAAACCCTGTATTAGGATACTATGGTGTTTAATTTTAACTGGGAATGTTAATTAGGGCAACCATAGGGACTTTTGATTGCTGGACTTTAATGCATTGATAGCTGGACCTTGGTAGTTAGCCTCGGGAGGAGAAAGTGACCAAATAAGGGAATGGGACTTGGTGACTAGCTTTAGGAATGTAATCTAGATTTTTAGCAAGGCAGGGAATATGGGGGAGAAGGGCAAGGCCTGCCAGAGCCATGCTCACCATACTCAAACTGGCCAGAGTCCCTTTACCCATCAAAATGTCAGTATCTTTTTCCATGAAATAGAAAAGCATCCTAAAATTTATGTGGAACCATAACGACACCCATATTAGTCAAGGTAGTTCTAAGGGGAGAATACAACAATAAAAACAATATGGGAGGTGTCACAATACCTGACTTCAAAAACATGCTTCAAAATTACAGTAACTAAATCATAAAAGCATAAAAGCAGATGGATAGCACAATGGCACAGAATAACCCAGAAATTAATCCATGTTCATGTGACCAGCTAATTTTTTACAAAGCTTCCTAGATCATAGTACAGAAGAGACATTTCAATAAATACTAGTAAAATTGTTTCTCCATTTGTAGGGAAGTGAAATTAGGTCCCTTCTTCTCACCATCCACAAAACCACCTCAAAATGAATCAAACTGCTAAAATTTAAACCTTAAACTGTAAGATAACTACAATAATAAGTACAAGGGGAGACACATTCAGACACTGATAGAGGCACCAGTGTTTTAAGTAGGACCCCAAAAGTGCAGCCAACAAAAGCAAAAACAGGCTGCTTTGATCATAGCACCCTAAAAAAAAACCAAACAAACAAAAAACCTGTGCCCAGCATTATAAATAATCCACAGAATTACCAGGCAACAAGCAGAATTCAAGAAAACATTGGCTTGCTACTCAATTGCCAAGGGATTTATATATCCTCAATATAAGAAATTCAAGCAACAGGAAAAACAACCTGATGAAAACTGCCTAGAGAAATAGGTGCTCTGAAAGAAGACTGCAAGGGCCAAGTGCATAGAACAATGCTCAGTCTTGCATAGACCAGTGAAGTAGGATAAAACACATGGAAACAAACCAAACAGCTACAGCAATATGAATTTCAATAAATGCACCAAAACCATGGGAGATAAGATAGTCTCTTCAGCAAACACTGCTGGAAAAACAGATACCACTTTCGAGGGAAGGAGCTAAAGCTCCTGTCCCACCCTGTGCCAACATCAGTTCTGTCACGAGCCCCATCCCTCCTACCTGAGGACCTGTTGGTAGCTAAAGGTTGCTGAGGGGGGACCATTTTCTTCAGTGGTGTAGCCACTGTAACTTGTCCGGGTTCCAGTAAATAAGCTCCCACTCGTGCACACATAAGAAACCCTAATTAAACTCAGTGAGTCACAAACAACAAAGACATGAAGGTAGAAGGGGCTTGTTAGGAAAAGGGACAAGTTCCACAAAGGAGGATGGGAGTGAGAAGGTGTAATGAGGAGTGAAAATAATCAGAATATATGATATACATATATGATATCACCAAAGAGAAATTGTAAAGGTATCATTGCTTAAGTAAGAAAGAATCCAAAATGGATTAAATACCTTAATGAAAAACCTAGAACCTGGAATAGAGCAACATCCAAGATACAGGGGAAGGCAAAAACATCCTGAAAGGAACACCAAGAGACCAAGGAATAAGAGCAAGAGTGCATCAAATTAAACAGCTTCTGTATAATGAACAAAGTAAAGAGACAGCCTACTGAAGGGAGAGGTGACAAGATTTACACAAAAATATATGGAGAACTCAAACTTTAAAATACCAAAACTCACATTATAAATTAAGAACAATTGGCCAAATGAGTCAACTATTTCTCAGAAATAACACAAACAGTTCATAAATATTTATATGAAAAAATCCAGAATCCTTAGTCATCAGGGAAATGCAAGTTGAAACTACATTGGGATTCCATCTCACTTTGTATATGACCTCATGATTTTCTATAGCATAGGAAATTTTTGGTATGCTCTAATTAAATGGACTTAATAAAATGTACTTACCAGAAAAATGCCCAGTTAGCTTGAATGCCAGTGACAAATCCCTTCTGATGTCCTTAATGTGTTACTATGAAATTCAATTACACAGCATGCTCACCTCGCTCATTTCAGCAACCAAAATCTAGGGATAACTGTAAGCAGTGATTGAAAGTCTCTAAAAAATTCCAAGTAGGAATTGAGTAATTTTTACATTAAAATACCTGTATACTGGGAGAATGAGTGGCTTGCAGAAGAGAAACCTCTGCTATGTAATCCAGTGAGTATTATGCATCTCTTACTGGTTTAACTCCAGCAAAACCATGCCCCCACCTTGGGTTGTCACAGTAGGTCAGACAACAGCATGGGCTTCCTTGATCAGAATATCACAACTGAAACGTACTGAGTAATAACTCTGTATCTAGATCCATGCCAAATGGGCTTGGTCTAAATCTGTAAGCAAAACTCAGAAACATTACCATCTTTCTCCTTCCTGCAGGTCAAGCTGAGCAGCATTAAATGATTTGGCCAATCTCTTACTGTAAGAAAAAAAGGATCTGGTACTGGCCTGAGAGCTGGTACTTTTAGCCTCTGATTAGAGAGCTGGTGCTTTTAGCTTCTGATTAGAACTGCTTCTCATTGTAGATTAAAGAAAGTACAAAATACAGAAATTTAGAAAGAAAACATTGTCATAGAACACAGTTCTGTTTAGAAGAAAGAGGCAAACAATATAGGGTGCTAATATCTGTGCAAATAGGATTGACACTGAAAGATCCTGTCTGTTCCCCAGCCTGCCCCCTTCCACCTAAGCAGATCAGGAGCAGGTTTAGGGGATGAGAAGCATTTGACTTGTGCCTTCTAGACTGAACTATTCCTGCCCAGGTATCTAGCGGGCATGGTGTGGGGGATAGGGGTGAACAGGAGACTATGAGAGAGGAGGAGGAAGAAGGGAAATAAAGGTGGTTCCACACCAGATCCAAGGCTGACTTCTGCTCAACTCATGGAGAGAACACTGTCATCCAGGACACATCACATGTGATTTCTCACCCAAGATCAGAAAGATCATCATCTCTGCTGCATCTCTTCTGATTTGCTGACATAGTTTCCTTACGGGGGAAAAAGTGTACTACAGGATAGTGCAGTGCTTTAGAGGATGAAGGTGTTTGCCATTAAGCCTGAGGACTTGAGGTTGATCCCAGGACCCACAGCAGGGAAGAAGAGAACTGACTCCTCAAGTGGTCCCCATGCACATCATATTCCCACAAATAATTTTTAAAGTAAAAATTCTACATTATTGGCAATAATAATAAAATTTTAATCATTTTTATCTCTTTTATTTTTGAGGTTATAATAGAACTCATTTCCCCCTTCCCTACCTACCCCCAAACCCTCCCACATACCTCTCCTTGCTGTCTTTCAAATTCATGGCCTCTTTTTTCATTAATTGTTGTTTCATGCATATATATACATACATACATACATACATACATACATATATATATATTTCCTAAATATGACCTATTTAGTCTGTATAATGTTACTTGTATTGTGTTTTCAGGGCTGTCCATTTAGTATAGATACCCAACTAATAAGAAGAGAAATGGTTACCATTTAACTTGTGGATTTAATCCAGCAACTCATTGGTTAAATGATCAACTCCTTATTAACCTTATCACAAAACTGACTATTAATTTCTCAACCTTTTTTTTTATTGAAACATGAAGGAATACAAAGTGTTTCTTTGTAAAGCCCAGAGACATGAAAACCAAGGGGAAACTTGAAGTGCACATGTGGGGCTACAAATGTATTGCTCACCTGCTTCCTTTTCCCCTTAGAGACTGGTTGACCATGCTGAGCCCACCAATTGTCCCTCCCAGTCAGCAGCCAGCAGAGCAGCCTCTAGAGTCTTCTGCAAGTGCAAGTGTGCAAGGTAAGAGTACCAGAAATGCTCTGCATAACAAATACAAAGGTAATCTGCTACAGATAGAGAAAAATCGGTCACTCTGAGACGCTGCTGCTTTCATAGTCACTATATAGTCTTGCACATCCAAACTAAGATCATCTGTGCCTCATCTTTTATGCAGTCTGTTACTAAGTAGGTTGCAGAGAGAATAGCCCTATTCTGAAGGTTAGCCCCAGGGCAGCGTACAGTGGAGTGCATCAGGTCTTCGATGCCTACATCAGCCCCATCTGATTTTCAGCTATAGCACTTCCCACTGTGTGACCACTGTGAATTTTAGTGGCCTGTTCTACAGTGCCTGCCCTGCCCCACATGCTACTTTCTTGTAAAGATCCAGTAAGGTACAATATTTGAAGTACTTAGAACAGTGACTGCCAAATACCGGCAGCTGGTATCACAGAAGTGCAGTCCATGCCTCTCAGAACAGTAGGGTACAGGCGTACATCGTGTGATGGTGTTTTGGTCGGGAGTGGACCTCACACATGTGACACCAGTCTGAAAAGTTTATAATGGACTAGGAAATTCCTACTTCCTGGTGTCCTGTCATCACATCACGTCATCATCACGCATCATAGCAAGAGACATTGCCTATGTGTTTATGAATTGCTAATATAAACAACCCATGGGATCACATGTGGTTAAAAGTATAGCACATATAATCACACACAGTACAAAATGCATGCTAATAAACTGTTACTGGCTCATATGCTTGCTGTAACATAGTTTTAATGGTTATTTTAGAATGTTCCCCTATCCACTAAACTGTGTTTAGTAATAGCATGCCATACTATACCAGCAGCTTCATATGTCTTCTGTTTACTGTTTACTGATCCCATCATGAGACACATCTAGGGACAGAGCCCAGCCATCTTAGCTTGCATAAATTAGCCACTCTGTGACATTCACACAGCAGAGTCTATCACTGCATGACCCCATTGTGAGATGACTTTGCCTATATGTGTTCGCCTTAAATTAGAGATGCAGCCTTTCACTAAAGTGAGACCATGACATACCTACAAACAGTGCAGTCATTGTAGGAAACTGGAATGAAAATCCCCTCTGTGACGGGGACGTCATGAAGATGAACCACTGGGTTTTAGTTAGGATCAGGGAACCTGGATGTCAGGAAGGGTTGGAAAAGGAACACTGGAGACTCTCCAGACTGGAGAAGAAAGTCATTTGTCAAGGTGCCTGCTTAGCATGCATCAAACCTAGCATGGGGACATGCACCTGTAATCATAGCTCTCATGAAACACAGACAGAAGATCAGGAGGTAACAATTATCGTCAGCTAGTTTCAGGCTAACCTGTATTACATAAGAATCTGTCTCAAAACAGGAGATCTTGTTCCTTTCCCCTTCTCCAGGGGACCATGTATGTCTCTCTTAGGATCCTCCTCGTTTACCAACCTCTCCAGCAGCATGGACTGCAGGCTGGCAATCCTTTACTCTATGTCTAAAATCCACATATGAGTGAGTACAAACATTGAAACAAACAAAAAGAATCTCCAGTGAAAATAGTGGATAGGGTAGCTGGGATGGAAGGGAACTCTAGTTCACTTAAGTGCAGAGTTGGAGTGACAGATGACCTCCAGTAAGACTCTCTGGGACAATTTTTTTAGTTGAATTTTGAAGAGGGAAGAACAGTACATCTAAACTTTTTTTAAGTGAAACTAATATAAATCGCTCCAACAAAAGTGCCAGGCCCCAGGGAGGAAGTAGCGTATCCGTTTTTCTTCAGGTGTGGAGAATTCAGTATGAGAGCTCATATATCTGACTTGTACTTTCTGGCTGCCCAAGGGATGGAGATGTCTCTGTGATTTACTGCCTGAAATAGATTATGCCCCTCAAATTGGGAAACTTTTTAGAGGTGTACATTTATAATTACTTATGACAGAAAAATAGAATCTTGGCTGTCAGGAGGAGACCTTGCTGTGAGGGAACAAATAATATGTTATGTTAAGTGTCCAAAATAAACCACAGGAGCCAGGAGCATGGTCCTTGAGCAAAGGCACTAGGTATATATATATTAGTGATGAGTGGCTGAAAGGATGTCTTCAGGTCACCACAACACAGTGCGAGCTACATAATGCTGAAGGTAAACAGAACTTCCACTGAGGACAAATTCACGAATTCAAGGAGCTGTAGCAACATGCTGGTCGGAGTTAACCAGCTCAAGGGTGAGTGCTCCTGCTTGCCACCCTCCGTGTTCATCACACTACCCTTCTTGAGAGCTATTGTTTCCTATTTGTTCACCATCTCCTTTCTGATATGCTTGAGTGGTTTGTAGCTAATTAATACCATCAAAACTACTGTTTCCTATTTGTTTAATTTCTCCAAGGTAATGGCAAGATTTTAGGCCTTATCTGGCACAATCTGCACTTAATTGTTATACTGAGATAGAGTTTCCATCCAATCCTTTAAAATATCTGTCAAAGAAAAATAATGTTCAGGCTTCCAGTTCATATCATCAGAAGAGGAGGGAGGCATGGTTGCAGTCATCTGGAATTCATCCTGGGTTTCTGTTGCCATTCCTATGCTGAGTCATTGCATTTAGCCTTCATACCGCCATCATGGAGAAGATATCAAGAAAAAGATTTTTTTTCTATTGAGAGTTCCTGGTCTATCAGGAAGAAATGAAGGGAGGGAGGGAGGGAGGGAGGGAGGAAGGAAGGAAGGAAGGAAGGAAGGAAGGAAGGAAGGAAGGAAGGAAGGAAGGAAGGAAGGAAGGAATATCTCCAGGGCTAAATTACTATGTATTTAATGACACACAGAGAGAACAAGGAGAATGAGCCTTCTGGCCACTGTGTCAGCCTTGGACCTGCTGACTCTCCCACTCCTCCTTGTTCAAAATGGCTAACCACAGTTGATGAGATCCAGGGCAAGGCTGGACCCACAGGTCCAAACCTCTACAGCCAGGCCTCTACGTGTGACCTGCCACCTGCCACTTTATGGCCTGCCCAGAATCCTATGGAGATGCTCAGTTAATCCATTCACTGTGCTTGGTCTCCCTCTCTCTTCCTCTCTCCCTCTCTCCCTTTTCCTCCCCCTCTCCCTCTCCCCCTCCTGCTCTCCATCTCTCCCTTCCCCTCTCCCTCTCTCTCTCCCCTCCTCCTCCCTCTCCTTCTCTATCAAATCTTGATAGGTTTACTCATCTCTTCTTTTTCTTCCCAATTAGCCTCAGTATGTATGAGCAGAGACTGTCAGTTTGCTGACTTGAGGACCCAGATTCCTGGCAGTTTCTGGCATGTATTGGGTTCTCCAAATTCTCAGTAGAGCAGTTCACAGAAATGTAAGCCTGGATTTCCTTCCTCATCCCCAGGTTTTATACATTTGGAAGGCTTCTGAAATTTAAACATGAAGCAGTGGCCTTTACACTTTATCTGTAGGCAGTGAGAACTCACTTCAAAAGAAATCTTATAGAGAACCTCGGTATAGAAAAGAGGTCAGGGGAGAATGGGTGTCTCAGAGTCCTACCCTGGGTCTCTGACAATCAGTAAACTGGTTAGGTTCAGCCCATTGTTTACCAAAAATCAAATTTCCAGTCACAGCCCTTGCCAAAATGGGACTTCTTTCACCTCAACATCTTTCTGCTGAACCACTGTATAGTTTATAACCGTGTGTTTTGTTTTTTGTTTTTCTAAGTTGGAACCACAGAGGAAAGTGATCATACATCTTGACACTTCTGAGACAGAAATAACAGCTAATGAATGATCTATCTTTTCATGTTCCGGTCCTTCATGTGTAGCCTCTAAAGTATGAGTACTGTTATCATTCCCATCTTCCATATAGTTCTCTCAGGCTGTGCAGCAATGCATTGGACCACCTCACCTCCTTCCCCAAAGGAGAAGCCAATATAATTGGGGCAGCTTGAGGCAAACAGCATGATGACCTGACTAATGTGTAATTTTAGAAAACTTACCCAAGCCATACAAAGGAAAAGCATGAACTACTTCTAGCCCTGGAACCCAAGGTTCCTGCCTCTGCCTTATTCAGTAGGAGTCTATCCCAGCCAGTGTCTGCCCAGCGTGAACATCTCCAGTACATAACCTTCACCTAAAGTGAACCAGGCACCTGGCAATTGTTGTGCTCACAGAATTCTGTTCTGATCGCTGCCATGGACTGAAGGACAACTGTCTGGCTCTTCATGATTCCTCCTAGGCCATAATACACTTGTGGAATATCAATTACCACAAGTGCCCTTAACACTTACTTAAAAAGTGTTCACTCGGAGCCTGTGTGAAATGTAAAAGTGAAGTGAAGATTTTAGAACTTACTCAAAAAAACTACTAAGCTGACCTTTTGAAAATGAACCATACTTTGCTGGAAGAATGGTTGTCAATTTGTTTTTGACATTTGTTCCTTTACAGATATGACCCTTAAATTATTCATGCCTACCAGCTATGACGTGGAATAATAATCAGTTCTTTCTTCAGCCTGTAGACCTCTCTGCAATTCACAAAAATTAGGAGGAATAAAGGCCTTCCAAGGAGTTTTTGGCATAGTTAGAGTCTCATAAAAATAACACTCCTGCATGTTCTTTACAGCAGTGTCACATAGACTGTTACTTTAAGAACAGTCATCGGTCTCCAAGATACAAATAGGCAGCAAATGCCTATTTCAATTCCAGAAACACAAATGCTTTTTTATGCAACATCCAAATTACTAGTAAAGAATTCACAGAATTCTCACCACTCCCTATAGATGGGGGGGGCTACTCCCCATCAACAGAAATGTCCTTTCACAGTTCCTCTGTTTACAGCTATATAATGTCTTCACATTTAATGGTCTGTGTCTAAGAGGTCTGCTTCACTGAGCATCAGTGGTACCTGGTGCCTATAGCAATGCCCAGGACATAGTGAACACTCCAAAAAGTTCTTCTAAGTAGATGAGTGTTTGATCCATGGGAGATACAGGGAATTCTGAGCCAGCCTGTGGATTTTCTTAGGATTTATTTACAACTGAAAGCATA